GTGCGTGTATGTGCGTGCTGGGGGGTGGAGGAGGGGCGTTCGGGGTGTGGGGCTCATTTATGCGTCTTCCTGCCTTTGCGCGGAGGAGGACGTGTGTGCGGCAAGCACACGTACGTGTAGGCACATATTTATAAACCCCTACCGCCTTTTTTTTTTCTCTTTCTTTCTGTGTGTGTGCCTTTGTCTGTGTTTCTGTCCGTCTGTGCGAGCGGGTGCGTGGGTGCGGGTGCCCCGGCGTCTCCTTATTGCCTCTTCCCTGCTGCACCGCCTTCTTCCCCTCTTCCTCTTCTTCACCGGGGCGCGGGCAGAGGAGGCGGTGGGAACACGCACAGGCACATTATTATTATTTTACAGAAGGTGGACTCTTGCAAGTTGTCCTTTCCCTCTCCCCTCCCTACGCCGCAGTTAATATGCACGCGTGTGCGCCGAGGGGGAGGCGCTGCGCTGCGGGCCCCCGGGGGAGAGGCGCTCCCTCCCGGCGATCGGCGCCGGCTGCGGCAGGCGCCCACGTGTTCTGCCGCACGCGCGGCTGGAGCCGGACGGCTCTCACCGGGAGAGCCAAGTGAGACGCCACGGTGTTGACGTATTTGCAGCCTCGTGATTTATTTATTATTTATTGCTGTTGTTATTATTATTGTTTTCTGTTTGTTTTTGTTTTATTGCTGCTTTCTGGCTTGGCTGCTCGCTCGTTTTTTCTTTGTTCCTTTTACTTTCTTTACTGTGCGGTGGATCCTCGCGCCTTTGCTCCGTGCCGCGGCACCACAACTGCGGCAGCCAGCGCGCACGCACGAGACCCCGCAGCGCAGGCGCAGGCCACGCAGTGGGCGAAACTTGGCAGTTCAGTTTTTTTTCTTTATTCTGTTCGTTTGGACGCCTGCGTGCGTGCACCCACGCGCCTCTCTTTCCTCCTCTCTTTCGCATGCACACATGCTTGCGCGCGGGCGGCGAGGCCAGCGAAAGGAAGCAACCAGCCAAAAACACACGTGCGGGGCGGCGACGATGACGCAGGCCCAGTTCGACGCCGCCGTGGCGTACGTGCGTTCGCTGCCGAAGGACGGCCCCGTGCAGCTCTCCAACGCCGTGCGGTTGGAGTTCTACGCGCTCTTCAAGCAGGCGACGGAGGGGCCGGTGACGGGGTCGCAGCCGTGGTCGGTGCAGTTCGAGGCCCGCGCGAAGTGGGACGCCCGCCACGCCCTCGCGGACATGCCGAAGGAGGAGGCGATGCGAAAGTACGTCGCGCGGCTGGTGGAGGTGACGACGGAGTCGGGCCAGCCGTGGAGCCCGCCGCAGTAGCGCAGAGGGCGGCACGGGGGAACAGGGAAAAAAAAGGGAGCAGCGAGGAAGCGAAAAGGGGGAAGAAAAAAGAACTGAAGTGAAAAACAAATAAAAAGAGCAAAGAGGGGAGGGGAGAGGTGAAAAAAAAAAGAAGAAAAAACTGAAGGACAGACGAGAGGCAGCGAGAGAGAGAGAGAGGGACAGTAATGAAGGATAGCGAAGTAAGACGCCCACGTATTCGTTCTGCCGTTGGCGCCGTCCTGCACGGGCGATGCCGCGGTGCCGTGGGTGGGACCAAACCGCACAAGCAGGCGTCGTGGCGCAGCACCGCC